CAAAAAGGACTTTGCAGATGTGATTAAGGATCTTTAGATGGGGGAAATTATCCTGGATTATTCAGGTAGACCCAGTGCAGTCACATTTGTCTTTAAGAGTGGGAAACCTCGTCCTGGCTGTGGTCAGAGAAAGAAATATGACTACAAAAGTAGTGTCAGAGAATGCTATGTTGTTGGCTTTGAAGATGGAGGAAGTGGCTGATCTCTAGACAAGGAAACGGACTCTCCCCTAGAACCTCTGAAAAAGAATGCAGGCCTGTGACATCTTAATTTTAGCCCAGGTGACCTGCAGAACTGTAAGTTAATAATACATTTGTATTACTTTAAGCCACTCTAAGAATGTGGTCATTTTTTTTTTTTTTTTGGTTATCAAATGATTTTTAATTGAAATACTCTCTTTTGTAGTTCTTAACTAGCTGGGCCTTCCACTATACCACTGTTGATGTCATGAGGGTGGTGGCCAGCAACATTGCAGCCCACAGACTGGGCAGTTCCCAAGATCTTTCTAATGGTTCCAGAGACTTCTCTAGCTAAAGTTCAGTTAGGCGTCTGTCCGGCAATGTTGGCAATCTCATCAAAAGTGATATTTTCATTGTGATTAATGCTTTTTTGTTTGTTTGTTTTGTTTGTTTGCTTGCTTCTTTCTGTCTTCTGGTGGTTCTTTGAGGGCTTTGTTGATCAGAGCAGAGGCAGAAGGTGCCACCTCAATCTGGGCCTGTCTGTTCTGAATGGTCAGTTTCACTGTCATCCTCAGATCCTTTCAGTCACCAGCTGCCTTAGCAATGTCATCACCAACCTTTTTTGGAAACAGACCCAGGGGATCAATCATGGGGCCAAGGAAGACATGGCACCAACTTCCCCACTTGTGCATCTCAGTATGCGACTTTGATCTTGTTGGGGTCAAACTTCTGTGGCATGATGCTGGTGGCTGATGTCCGATGAACCTGGGTTCTGGGCAACCAAAGGAAGTTGTGTCTTGGTCTCCTCCCAGCAGAAAGCCGAAAGTCCAGAAGACCCTTCAACTACTCCAGATATCAAGTTTTTGGTCATTTTTATGGCAACTATAGAAAATTAATACACCATTCCAGGCCACTCATACCTGATGTTTGTTCCTTCTGCTTGGAATGCCATTCCCGCCCCCTCCCNCCACCCCCCAGGTTTCCAGGGATAGATCCTTTTCAAATTTTAGGTCTCAGATTCACTATTACCTTCTTAAATGGGTCTACCCTGATGGCCCTATCTGTATGTAGCACCCTTCCCAGCACCAAGTTATGAGCAACTCTAAAACAGCACACTCTTTATTTCCTTCATCACGTATAACTGTCTGGAATTACCTTGTTTGCTCACTTAATTATTGCTCTTTGTCCACTCAAGGTGGTAAGCATCATAGCATCAGGGATCTTGTCCGTGTTGTTCACAGCTATATCCTTAGTGTCTTGAGTAGAATTTGGCAAATAGTAGATACTCAACAGATATTTGTTGAATGAGGAAATGAATTTAACCAGGGGGATGGTTATATCAGGAAAAGGTCAGAGCCAGAGCAAAATTCTGAGGTGTGAAACTGCTTATGTGCCCAGGAGAATCTATTTCCAATGGCTGAAGCCAAAAGAAGAAAGCAAAAGGAGATGGGAACCAAGATGTAGGAATTATTCTCTTCTTCATTATTATTACTATTTCAAAATATGTTACTATATCTTGTAAGTGCTTGGGAGTTAATTTAGTTTTTTAAGAAAGGGGAAGTAATTGAGCGACAAATACACAACAAAATCAAGAAGACTATGTGACCAATTGGATGTGGGTTGAGGGAGAAGGAAGAATGTTCTCCTCCCTTTGGGCCAAGGATAATGGGGGTCATATTAATTGGTATAAATGGAAGATAATGGTTTCATTTTCGACTCTGAGTTTCATTTCAATGCAGGCACTTAGAAATACAGGAGTGTAGCAGGAGAGAAGCCCTGACAGGAAGTCATTAGCATGTAAATAGAAACAGTGTCAGGCTATCTAATAGTATAGCCCAAGACCAGGGCAAGGAGGGGCAAAAGCTGATACTACAATAGTGGTGAGTGCAATAACTTTCTGAGAGGAATTAGCAAAAGAAATTTTACCAGAAAAGCAAGGGGTGTAAGAGGACGATGGGAGACCAGGAAGCCTTGGGAGGAAAGAGTTTCAGCAAGAAGGGAGTAGTTTGAGTATCAAACACTATACGGGGTGAAAGCAAGATCTTTGGATTTATCAACAAAGGGGTGTTGTTGTCTTTTGCAGGGCTGGTGATGATATCCTGACTCTCAGGGTGAAGGATAACTGGGAGGTGAAGGAGTAGAAGGAAAAAATACTAGAAGATATGGAGGTAAGGAAAACCTGTTTTGTTTGTCTCTTTTTTGAGGAAAGAGAGGGGACTGAAAGAGTAGTGTCCTGAAGGAGATGTAGAGGGAAGTGACAGAGAGTACAGAGGGATATAATATTGTATATCAACTGTACTATCATTTAAAAAAAAAACAACAAAAAACAAAACGTGCAGAGGAAAGGATCAACCCTGAAGGGCACCAGGGCCCCTTTTCCTCTGAAGTTGGAAGTATTGGGGTTAGGGAATCTAAGAGTTCAGGAAGCAGTGAGACCACTTACTTTGTAGTTAGACATCTCTGAAATAGAACCATAAATCTACCACTTATTAGCTGAGCAAACTTGAGCAAGTAAACTGCTTTGAACCACATATAATTCCTTATATATGACTTGAGAAAAATACTAAATATCTTTGCAGGTTGCTATGAAACATAGAACTGGTGAAAATTCACCCATTAGGCACATAGTATTACATGAACACTTGGGATGGGCTTCGTTGGAATTGCTACAGATTTCTGAGCTCCACACTCAAGTACTGAGGCCTAGAATCAGTTCTTCAAGGACTAAGAAATGGTCAAGTTCTCTATTCTGAATTCAGCCATGTCTGTTAGGCAGACACACCTGGTCAATATCTGTATTCCAAATTGAATGTACAATAGTATCCTACAGCCAAACATAGAGGAAAAGCCCAAGTAGCAAAGCTCGCAAGGACATGAGAGAACAATTTATTTCAGCTTTCCTACAAATGTTTGCTACCCTCCTGTCATACCATGAGTTTTTGGTAGCCGGGAAGCAGACCCTGAAACTGGAGGGGATTGTGAGAGGTTGCGCTGTGATTTTAATCTTTCTTATAAAAGCTCTGTTCAAGGTTAAATTTAAAATAGCTGTATTGATAAGCTAATGATAGCTGTTTTAGTAACAGATACTGATACTGGTCAAGCAAGCACTGAGCATTTATGCACACTGATTCTGCTACAAGTCCTGTGATCTTAGTTTTGTATCCTCAGCATCTAGAACATTTTCTGAGAGGTGCAGATTCTCCATAAATGCCCTTTGTCTCTGCACTTCTATTAAGATTCCACACAAGATACCTGAAAATTGTGCTATCCCTTTGGTATTGGGGTGTTTATGTCTGGCGTGCTAGAGAATAAATTTTTTTACCTGCATTAATTTTCCTGATGTTCTTTCTGAATATTTAGCTAGGTGTTTTCAAATGCTGGTCTTTCAAGCATTCTAGAAAAAATTAGTTGAAGGGCAATTTTTGATCCTTACTTAGTCTATTCATTTTAATGGGAGCAGGCCACCCCTGGGGAACAGTGTGGTGGTGACAGAAGTAATTGAAATGAGACATGTCTAGGTGAAAATGAGAGGCATGGTTTTAGAGCTGCTTACTTGGAAAGCTGATCTCTTCTGGAATACTTCTCCAGAGATACTAGTTCCAAAGCTAAAATTAAAAACTTCTTGGATTTCTTCTATTAAGGAAAGTTGTAATAATGCATTACTTACCTAATCTCACACTACACTCTCTTCTTTTCTCTGAATTTCCACTAGGCTTAATACACCTCACAATATATGCTTGGGCGTATATTTCTTTGTTTCATGCTTATTTTCTTAGTGTCTACATGTGTTCCTTGAAGGCAGTGGGCATGGCTTTCACTTTGGTGTTATGCTCTTCCTCGCAGTGCAGAGTGCCTGCTCATTGCTGAGTAACTATCAACAGTCGACTCACCTGTATTGTAGAGAGCAGCAATTCTGATTCTAGGTGGACTCAAGGTAGCAAATGTATTAGATTATATAGAATGCTCTGAGGTCAGTAAGATCTTGGCAAGCATGAATATGGGACAAAAGTTCATGGACATTGCTCTTAAATGGCATGTGCAACTGGGACTACCATATTCCCTGAAAAGCTGGTTTAGGGATAATAACACCACCATCTACTTTTATGTAGCTCTTTGCAATTTGGAACTTGGTTAATAATATATTACTCATTTTAGTGTCACTAAAACCTGTACACTGGTCAGGGCAAAGCCCTTTACTCAGATGAGAAAATTGGAGTGCACAGAGATAAAGGACTTGGTGTTTACAAAATTGGTGAGTGGCCGAGCTAATGTTTGAAGCAAAGCTTTCTGCATCCAAAGGCAGTGTACTTCCTGTTCCTTTACACTAGCAGAGTAGGCGATTTCCTACATAATAAAGCTCTCTGGGACCTGAAGATGTGTCCCCCTAAACAAGAGAGATGGAGAGATAAGGAGAGGATCTTAACTTCAAGTATGATGCATTACACATTTGTCTAAAACAGTTTCTTCAGCAGGACTTTACCAGGTCACACTTTTAATAGTTTCCTTCCAGAAACCTGGGAAAAGAAACAGGATCTGGCAGGGGAACAGGGATACTTCCTCTTTAGTCAAAAGAAAGGGTTAAAATTTGATCCTTTGAGAGTGTAAGGTGGACAAGAGTCGTGAGTTTCCTAGATGCCAAAAACAAGGCTGAAAGGCTGTATTTCTTTCCTAATGTCTTTTTCAGCTTATAGGGAAAAAGTTAAGGGGTGTGTGTCTGGGGGAAAGGTTAGGGCGGGGAGAATAAAGACTCCCTCTCACAGGCTTTTGAAATGAAATAAAAAAAGAGCAATAAATGTTTGTTTCTGTGATGAAGCTCCATTTATGTTTAAAACATAAATGAAACAGGGACAGTTGAAGGCACAGAGGCGTGTGTTCTGATTTGGTTGTTTACCATCAATCAGACCGTTGCTTGGCAGACACTGGATGGTTATGAGCCTGAACAAGCTGAAAAGGGGCAGGAAAAGAAGTGGAGGCAGCATTCTTCCTATTTAAAGCTGCATCGCTTGAAAAAAGTTTTCGCAGTCTGTGCTGGAGCTGGTGCTGAAAAAGGGGGTTTGCAGAGGCTGCCCTGGGGCTGGTGCTGAAAGAGCCCGCAGTTGACTTCATGGTGCTACAATAACCTTAGAATCTACTTTTCACTCCCAAGAGGACCCACATGTCTAATATTTAGACATGATGGCAAACTGGGTGGAAGCAAGACCTCTCCTCATTCTTACTGTTTTATTAGTGCAATTTGTCTCAATAAAAGCCCAGGAAGAAGACGAGAATGGTGAGTTTGCCGTTTGCTTTGCCTGTGGTGTTTATCACTAGGTTTGGGGAATAGGTGGAATGTTAAGCCGCAGGAAGAGCGTGAAGAGGAGGTTCTGGTTTGAAGTTGAGAAGGGGGCTGACAGCACCTGGAAACGGCTTGGAAGACAATAGGGATGTTTGTGAGTCCGCAGCTTCTCCTCGATCTGCCTTGGGAAGAGTACACTACGGAGTATTTCTGGGAAAACCTAGGACAAGTCCTTTTGCCTGAGTGTGGAGAGTGGGACGTTTAAAAGACAAGAAGAATGCTTAAAACGGAGCCCTTAAAGGCGCTTTCAGTTAGAGGAGTTCTGTTCTGTGGGCTGGTTTTTCAGAGCGAGGAAAAGTCGCAGCAGAAGCTGGGAAGGGTGGAGTCTTTTTTTTTTTTTGTACGGAACTTCAGCTGCTTCATAAAATTCTTTGTTTAGAAAAACCTCTGTAGCCAGCCTGATAACTGATTTTTCTTTGTCTTTGGCTCCTTAATTCTTTTTTCTTTACAGACTTTCACTTCTTTCCCATTTGCATTTGTGATCTTAAAATCGCTTTTGCTTCCTGAGAGACAGCCTCCTTTATTTCTCCATGGACAGAGGCTGATTGGAGCCAGATTTCTTAAACAGTGGTATTTTCCCACCCTACTGACTTGATTATCAGGACAGTGATGGTTGCCTGTTGGATGGTGAAGGCAGGAAATCGGCGTGCCTTATATGTAATTTATTTATCACTGAGTATATGTATGGACATTATCCTTTAGATGCAAGTTTCTTTTCATTTAAGACAAATCTGCCTGGTTACCAATTTTTTTTTTCCTTTGCAATTTGCATATGTTAGGGTTGGGCGATACTGTATGATTAAGCAAAAATGCATGGCTGTTAATAGAATATAAGAAAACATTTAAATTGATTCCACTGATTATTAAATTTTTCCTCTCCAGGGCTGGTAGTTAAAAAACATACTCTTTTATAATAGGTCATTATAGATTTTCATAACTATTTAACATCAAGCTTGAGCTTTTAAAACTTAGCACATTTATTAAACTTTTCTGTTACTGTTTTAACATATTTGTGTGTGTGTGTGTGTGTGTGTGTGTGTGTGTGTGTTTTAATACCTGCTTCTCTGTAGTTTTGCTCTGATGATGTTTATAAAATTAACATAGAGACCACAAGTTCTAAAACACATTTAAAGAGTGAAAATAAAAATTTGGATGAATACCCAACAGTCTGTCCAGAGTCCCATAGAGGGGGCACTTTCTAAAATCTTGGAACTCTTTATGTTACTTTTTGTTTTAAAAATCAAGCAATTTATAAAAGTTAAAACTATCGAGTTTCCTTGTAATGGTGAGAAAAACATTCATTGTTTGGAAGGGTGGGGAAGATAACTGAATAGGAAGAAGAAGTCAGGGAAGGGGGGAAATACAGAAAATTACTACACAAATAGAAATTCTGATTATAAAAGGAACAGTTGACTCCCCTCCCCCACCAAATAACCAACTTTAATTTAAAACTTAATACAACTTTCCTTGTTAATATATTTTAAAATAAATAATTTTTATAAAGTATGAAAATACTTGAACATTTGACTAAACTAAAGGTATGTTTCATAAGGTTATGGAATAGGCTATATGTTAAAAGATTGTCTTCAATAGTTGTAATTATTCTGTAGGTGTTCCTGAAAAATGGGCAGAGCTTAATTTTTCTCAGTACTAATTTACATAAATGTTAGGAATGTGATGCTTGGTGCAAAAATGTCCCCGACTCCATATCAAGCCCTCTTCCCTCAATGTAACTAACCAGCACAGAAACTGGAACTCCAAATATCATATTTTACAGAAAAAGAGCAGTTGCTTGCACACATATTGCAAAAAATAAATTCCTCTATTTACTCAATAAAACTAAGAATACATGTGATAAATTTCAATAGCAAAAAAAAGTAGCTATGCCCCTAATTAAAGGTAATCCAGGAAAGAATTTCAGAATCTAGAGCTACATAACTTGTAGTGCACTGATCATACATAGTTTGGTTTAATTTATAGTATATGGATACTTGTCAATACTTTATTTCCCTGTTCAGTCTTGTCAGAACTTAATAATAACAGTGTCAGGATTTTGAGTTCCATGTGATTTTAGGTTTGAGGAAGAGTAAAGTTAGGTAGATGCTTTAAAGTAAAGAGGTATCTAAGGCATACTTGCAAAACAAGTACTCCCCCCCGCCCCCCCGCCACCAACTTTAGCTATAACTAAGTCAGACAATATTGACTTTGTGTACAAATATGTCCTCTTGAAAATGTAGAGGCCTGTTATCACATGTAAGTACATATTTACAAAGTTTTCTTTTTTCTTTTTAAGACTTCAAGGTATTTTTTTCTCTCTATTTGACTGTGGTTATTTACTGGGAATGCAAAACATAAGTATAGTGCTTGCCTGATATAAATACTTATGAATAATGAGATTAAAGGAAGTAAATAAAGTTTTAGGCCTTTTACTCCAAAATCGTTACTACTTCTCAGTACATTTTAAGAACTGAATTGATTGTTTAAATTTGTAGGAACTGAAAGGAGAAAGTTTGGGAGTTGGGCTAACTTTAGATGAAACTGTTAAGTAACAAAAATCAGCATTGATGACAAAATCGCTTTTCATGAGTTTTGTGTGTGTGTGTGTGTTTGAGGTAGGGGGTGCTTTGAAAGGCTCCATTTGTTTTTTTGTAGGAGAAAATACTAGACCATTTATAGTAATTTTTATATTCCTAAATAAAGGTCTAACACCTAATGAGTTATATACGTTATTGTTATTAGAAGTGGACATACTTAACATTAGAAAATAGTCTTTGTTGTCAATCATGGATTCAATAACAGGAGCAATGGAGAGGAAGGAAGGTGCAGAAATGTACCATTTTATTTCCAGAGACTGTAAATGTCAATGCTTTTCAGAAGCCAGACAGGTAACATAAACAAGCAAAGCAAGAGAGTGTTAATGCATCAACACGTACTGATGGACCTGTGGAGAACTGAAGATGCATGCCCACTTTCAGGCATTTGAAACTCACATTTTCAGAAAGCACTGCATAAGCCAAATACAATATATCTGAGTGCCAAGTCTGGCTCATGGATTGTAAATTAGCAACCCTCTTGTTGCAGCCCTACACTGATATCCTGGACCCAAACCAACTTCTCATTACTAAGAGATGAGAGGCTCTACAATCCTTTCTATATCATGGTCTCCTACATTTATATTATATACTATGTCTGCCATCATTAAAATACAAAGGTGAAGAAATGGATGCTTAACACTCAGCAATACTTGGATGGGATCATTTTAAAAGAGGTAGAGAATGGGAATACATAGTTTAGGATACTTGTCCACTCATAAATTATTTTAAACTCATTAATATTGAAAAATGATAAGATACTTTTGGATCATGTAGTACATGCAAACTTTTATAGTAGGTATTTTAATCTAGGTTCAGCTGCACATAGCAGAATGCAGTAGTTTAAACAAACAAAGAAAAAGGTGTTGTTGTTTTTTCTTCTATGAAAGAAGCTTTTAGTTGGGTAGTGAAAGACTGGTATGTTGGCTCCACAAAGTCATCAGGGATTTAGTCTCTCATAGCTCTCTACTCTCATATCCCAGGGTAAAATGCTGATACTATGGTACTAGATGACTGCTGAAGTTCCAGCCATTACCTTTACTTTCCAGGCATCTGTATAGAGAACAGAAAAGAAAGGCTGTGGTTAATGGAGATTGTTTAATCTTTATACCATTTTGACTTACTCGCAGCTGGCCATGATTTAGTCATATGGTCACACAAACTTACAAAGGCAACTAGGAAATGGGGTCTTTTAGCTGGGTGGCCCTGGCAATGTTCTCTATTGGGTTATGTATGTTATGACGGCTGTAAAAGGGACAATAACTATCAGGGGGCAACTATAGTCCTGACCACAACTAGCATAAGTGTCAGCCATTTTCAGTGGAATAGATCTTCTGGTTTTAGTGGACAAAAAATATTGTTGAGTGACCAGATCTACCCTGGTTATTGTTCACTTCTGAGTAGACTACAAAGCCAAGAACACTGAATGGCTCTCAAATATTAGTTAGCAATTCTTTGTTTCCTTATTCTTTTCAGATAAATTTAGGAGTAATTACAATTCTTATCCAAACTAAAGTGAGATTTTATTTTGAAGAGTATATATACATACATACATATATATATATATATATATATATATATATATATATATATAGTATATTTGTAGACTGATGGATATAGTGAATGCTTTGTATTGACAAGCACAATGTGTAATGTTTTGACCATAATTCTTTAGGTTAGATGGTAAGCAATCCACAAATAAGTATTAAGTTGCCTGTATAAAGAACCACTTGCAGAGCTTGTTACTAATATAGATTCTAGGCTCCTTTCTTTCCAAATATCCTGATTTAGTAGGTTTGAATGGGATTTGGGAAGCTTTCTAGGTGATACTGATTTATATTGGTGAACCACTGTATTAAATCTCTGCCTAACATGCTTTTGATCTTGATGTGGACCAGTAGGCCTCTTGTTCCAAGGCTATATACTGTGACTTTGATAATAATTTGCTTTTCTAGTTATTCCTTACACTTGTAAGGCTACCTAATTAAAGTTTGTCGATAAACGATTGCAAATTCACCATCATTTTTGGAAAAATCAAGGTGCAATTTCTCCTCTTGGTGGGGTAGGTAAATCATTCCATACAAAGGACAAAAGTTATAAAAACTTATTTCTAGGTGAATATATAGTTTTCATTTTCTCTTCTCGCTTCTACTTCCTGCTGTTCACACTTTTAGCACTATCACTGTAGCTCTGAAATTCATTGTGTTGATCATTCTAGAAATGCACATAGTTAAGCATGTGAGGTAAAAACAGAAAGTTTTATTTTGAGGACCTGGGACTTAGAAGATTGGAGTCATGTTAATCTGTGACCACGGAATGAAATCTTTTTTTAATCAACAGTTT